TAGTAATAAGTAGGGAATGGAATGTAAGGTACAAAACGTCATAGTATAAATAAGGCATAAAGAATGTCATAAAAAACGTCATACGTTTAGTAAGGTATAAAATGTCATATGTATAATAAGGTATAAAATGTCATAAAAATGTTTAAGGTATCAAACGTCATAGTATTATGCAGGGTATAAAAATGTAATAGTATAGTAGGCATCAAAATGTATATAAATATGTCATAATAGTATTAAGGACAAAAATGCCATAAAATTTCATAATTATATTAAGGCATAAATGTCATAGTATCCTAAAGGCATTGGAAATATAAGGTATAAAACGTTATAGTATAATAAGGTATAAAATGTAATAGAAAATGTTTTAAGGTATCCAAACGTCATAGTATAGTAAGTCATAAAAATGTCAATAAAATCATAGCATAGTAAGGCATAAAAATGTCATAAAACATTGTAGTATAGTAAGGCATAAAAATGTTTATAAAAACGTCCATATACGGTAAGGTATAAAAGGTATTAATAATAAAGGGCAAAAAACGTCTTTGTATAGTTAAGGTAAAATGTCAAAAACATCACAGTATAGTAAGGTATAAAATGTCACAAAAACTTCAATAGGTATAGTAAGGTATAAAATGTCAATAAACATCATAGTTAAGTAAGTATAAAATTTTTATAAAAACATAGTGTAGTAAGGTATAAAATGTCATAAAAATGTCATATATATTAAGGCATAAAAGTCATTTAAAATGTCAAGTAATAGTACACATAAAAATTTTCATAAAAACATTATAGTATAGTAAGGCAAAAATGTCATAAAAACATAGCATAGTTTAAAAATAAAATGAAATTAAAAACATTATAGTATAGTAAAGGTTATAATGTCAAAAACATCACAGTAAAATAAGGTATGCTGATGAGTGATAGATTGCAGGGGTGGTGGTGAACTGCTGTCCACCTGATGTCAGGGGAAGCACACAGACACACACACAGGGGAGATAAACAGGACAGAGGAAAAAACACAAAGGGGAGAAAGCAGGACTGTGACACCTTACTATACTATGACTTTATGACATACTGTACATTTCATGCCTTACTATACTATGATGTTTTAATGAAATTTTTATGCCTTACTATACTGTGACTTTTTTTATGCCTTACTATACTATGACATTTTATACCTTACTATACTATGACATTTATGTGACATTTTTATGCCTTACCATACTATGACATTTTATGACATTTTATACCTTACTGTACTATGACATTTTATACCTTACTATACTATGACATTTATGTGACATTTTTATGCCTTACCATACTATGACATTTTATGACATTTTATACCTTACTGTACTATGACATTTTATACCTTACTATACTATGACATTTATGTGACATTTTTATGCCTTACCATACTATGACATTTTATGACATTTTATACCTTACTGTACTATGACATTTTATACCTTACTATACTATGACATTTATGTGACATTTTTATGCCTTACCATACTATGACATTTTATGACATTTTATACCTTACTGTACTATGACATTTTATACCTTACTATACTATGACATATTTCTGACATTTTATGCCTTAATATACTATGATGTTTTTAAGACGTTTTTATGCCTTTCTATACTATGACTTTTTTTATGCCTTACTATGCTACGACATTTTATACCTTACTATACTATGACTTTTTTTGCCTTACTATACTATGACATTTTATACCTTACTACACTGACGTTTTTATGACATTTTATACCTTACTATACTATGACATTTTAATGACATTTTATACCTTAATATGGTATGATGTTTTTATGACATTTCATGCCTTATTATACTATGACATTTTTATGTCTTTCTGTACTATGACATTTTTGTGACATTTTTATGCCCTACTATACTATGATGTTTTCAAGACATTTTAT